CAAATTTTACCCAAATATAAACCGATATCCAAATAAAGATTTATGATTTTATATCCAAATTTTTGACAGTCCCTGATCCCGATATGGCAATTTGGCAAATAACAAGTTGATCGCGTGAGTTTATTTGAGCTTATTTGGCGTATAACAACTGTTATATGACCTACGTTTACTATGAAAAAAAAAAATAAGTATACTTATTTTTAAATAATTGCCAATAAAAAAGATGAGACCTGTTGAAGTAAAAAAAAAAAAATTTCAATTATTTTATAATAAAATATAGAAGTTTGCTATTTACCACCACTAGTAATAATTACTGGTGCTAGCACTTTATTTATCTAATAATTAATATATAGATAACCCTAAATGTTCTATAATCACGATTTTGCTATTATTACAGTATAAGCTCGTAATTAGTTTTTTTCAGCCATTAATAATTTGGGCCCTTATAAGTAATATTTTTAAAAATTATAATTTGGGCCCGTATTTGTAACATTTCGGGCCCTTATTTGTAAAATTCCCATTATTGTGTAACCAAATATGGCTGTTGTGATAAAAATTAAGAGGTATAGTTTTATGATCAAAATTTTAGACGCCAAACTTCAGGTACTAAAATTTTTAGGTAATGGGTGTTGCCTTTTTTCTTTTTCTTTTTTGGAGTCATAACGGTAATCGATTGAAAGGTAAAGAGATAAGTAACTCAAGCATCGATCGTATCAATTGATTGTAGTATTTGAGCGTCATCTCAATTACTAACCAACTACATTAATGAAGGCTCTATAAATCCAGAAACATAAAATAATCAAAATTATAAACTTATTTAATCAATTTAATAATTTATAATTTTTATCCGGCAGCTTACTACGTATGATTTGTTTGCCAAATAAATTTATTATTCAGCAGAAACTACATAATTATCGAATAATAAATTTATTCGGTAGACTATCGTCAGCAGATACCTTATAATTATTGGATATAAATTGTGGGCTGTTCACATTATAGAATACTAAATTTTTTTGAAGATAACCTTCAAATTTCTATGCTTCCGAACCAAATAGTTTGATTTATTATCAAAGTTTTATTTTTAGCAATTTAAAGACGCCGATCATAGTAATATAGGATATTTCCCACAGTTCAGTTTATAAATTACAATGCTGCATTCTCTGAATTTTAGGTCACTTGCGTCATTTATTTTAGTGTAACGTTGCTTTATCTGTTCACAAGACATTTTCTAAACCAAAAATGGTAATCCCTTTTCCATTTTTTAAGACACTCACATGTAAGAAACAAACGCAATGAATACAATTACACTATATAAAGGATTGTTTCTCCTTTTTTATTACCAAAGAATACACCGTATTTAGCATTATGCAATAGTGGCGCTCGGGATTTTATTGCGCATCTATTCCACCTACGGTATGGACCAATCAAACAAGCTTTTACATACCCTATTAATTCAGTAATTTATTCTTCTTCTTTCCGACAATATTCAAACCTGACCAAAGATGGATGAGCCAGCCCCAACTCTGTCCGCGTTAGAAAAACAGATGATGCTCGATAGAGACAAGTTACAATCAATAATTGAGGGTTTTATTATTGCATATCACCATGGTCTTACTAAAGACGATACTACTATGCTACCTTCATATGTTTCACGTCTTCCAACAGGTGCTGAGACTGGTACATACCTCGCCTTAGATTTGGGGGGCACCAATCTAAGAGTTGCGGCAGTAACCTTAGTTGGTGATGGCAAAGCTGACATTGAACAAAAAAAGTATGTAATCCCAGCAGAATTAAAAGTTGGAACTGCTGAAAAACTATTTGATTGGGTCGCATTGGGGGTTAAAGATTTATTGAGTTGTCTCGGCGTTCAAGCAGAAAATCTTAACGATAAAGAAATGTATATGGGTGTCACCTTTAGCTTTCCGATCAAGTAAGGATGAATGTATTTTACTATACTTGTCTAAAAAAAAAAAAAGTAATAATAATAATAATAATAATAATAATAGTCAAACAGCTATTAATCGTGGAGTTGTCATGCAAATGGGTAAAGGATTTGAACTAACAGGATTAGAAGGTCAAGATATTATTGAGCTCTTGCAAGCGGCTTTTAAGCGCAAGGTGAACCAAATAGCGAATTAGGGTCAATGCATCTATTAGGTTTGATCTCTTATCCTTTTTTAATCCGTAGGGTATTAAAATTCATATTTCTGCCATAGTAAACGATTCTGTTGGAACTTTTGTGGCAAATGCTTATAAAGACCAAAACACAATTGTTTCTGTAATTTTGAGTACAGGAACAAATGCTTCCTGCATTTGTCAGACAGCTTCCATTACAAAACACAAATTCCCAAAAGATTCACCTGAATACATGATTGTTAATACTGAGTGGAGTATAATGGGAAATGACTTCTTACCAAGAACAAAATACGATAAAATTCTTGATTTACAAAGTCACAAGCCGGGATTTCAACCATTTGAAAAAATGGTTAGTGGTCTTTATTTGGGTGAATTAGTGAGATTAGCAATGGTTGATTATGTGAAAAATTTTGGATTGTTTGATGGAACTCTACCCAGTGGGCTTGAAATACCATACAATTTCACTACTAAACATATGTCTGACATTGGAAGGTACAAGTTAAGATTATATATTACGAAAATTCTCAGATGGCATTTATTAATATATATATGTATATCTATAATTTTTTTTTTTTCTTTTAAGCGATAAATCGCCCGAATATAACGTAGTCTTGAAAATTTTCAAAAATGACTACAACAAATCTCCAAATCTTGATGATAGACGGATTGTACATGAACTCGTTGTGCGGTTTTCGAGACGTTCTGCACAATTATCGGCAGCTGCTATTGCATCCCTCGTAAAACTTCAATGTCCAGATTTTCCAGCAGTTGAGCGTGACATCCGGGTAGCGGTTGATGGTTCGCTATTTCATCGATTTCATAAGTATTCGAGTTGGATGAATAAAACTTTTAGAGACATTCAACGTATAAAAGAAGATAAACGAACTAAAATTGTTCCAGTTGAAGATGGAGGATGCTTAGGGGCGGCTATAACTGCTATGATGTATTCGCATTAGTTACTTTTTTATCTTAATTTTTTTTTCCTTATGCGTTATCGTTCACGTTATCTAATAATTTTGATACTATAACGTGAGCAAACAATTTTTAATAAATTTAGGAATGTTGTACAACAAATTAAAAATATGTCGTTATCATTATCATTTACACTGATGGAATAGATATTATCAAGAAAGGCCTGAGAAAATTTTAAGTGTTAAAAAATATTGTACTTCAGAAATTTTCAAATAATAAAAAAAAAAAAAAAAAATTTAGAATACTTATGCAATTTCTTAATAAGATTTTCATATGCACTTCCTCCAGGACTGTTGTTTGATGCGTAAGGTCTAATTTTTAATTTTGTAATTTGCAGAAATTTGGTTGACCATACACTGCCATAATGCTTACTGTGTGTGTGTGCAAACGCGCCGTGTTTCCGCTACATGAATACATAAAAACTCTACTTTATTAATTGCCTATTATTATTTTTTATTAAAATATTTTGTGCCTTTATCTTATCCATAACTTTATATTTACAACAATACAACTATACGACCTAGATCAATGTTATTCACTGGAACGTTCCAGTGGGAATTACTGGAAATGGAAGGTCAACTGGATAGAATTGGAAGCAGTGTTTAAAATTCAAAAATGATTTTATGTTCTCAAAAAAACATTTTTTAAAATTTTAATGTTCTCAAAAATTTTTTAATGTTCTCAGTATTAGAA